CTGTGCCCTCCTTGCCCCACCCCCGTCCGTACCATACCCTGCAGCCGGCACTGGTGGCTCTCCACCCCACTCTCCCATTACAGGCACTTTTCTCTTCCTCATGCATGTTTCCAAAACAGTTTATCTTTTTATCTCCTCAGAAGAAAAGTACTCTGCAAATCAGAGGTATCATTAGTATTGTTATTATTTTGCTATTGAAATCTCTTGAATTCACTCTGGATTATTTCATATGCTTTTTGGGTCTGCAATATAATGCTGCCTAAGTCACCCCCACTGGGCTGAACAAAAAAGAAAAATTGCATCTTTGGGGCCCAATCTCCTGCTCCACCCCATCTCCTGCTGGCTCTGGCTTCCACCAACACAGGCCCACGCCAGGCAGGGCTGGTGCCATGCCTAGCTCACTGCTGTGTGTTCCAAGCCGGATGTGTCTCTGTGTTCCCAAGTGGTGCCCATCATACCCTCTCAGAGCAGTGGGAAGGTCTTGACCCCACCCCGCATCCCTCCACTCCCCGGGGAGCTTCTTTTCCATCCTCAATAGATCTGGCTGGCAACTGAGGACTCCCTACTGAGCAGCAGACACTGCAACCACCCGGTACCCAACACGCACGTCCCAGTCCCCCACTGAGAAGATCTGTTAAAGAAGTGGTCCCACACCCTTGGCAGCTGTGCACTGGCCTTCTGGGACAAAAGAACTGATTTTTCTTCCTCTAGACAAGACGTCATACCACTTAGCGTGCTGGTAGGAGGGAGAATCACACTTATTACTTGCCTTGTCTTTTGTTATGTGACATTTCTGGGCAAGGGTCAATGTTTCCAAAGTTGCTGTTCACTCCTGATTTCCTTTCTGGGTGCCTCCTCTTCCTGTCCCCCAGTGATCCCTCATTGTTTACGCCTTTTCTGCTGTGCTCTTCTCTTCTGACTCCTCCACTCCCCACCCCAAGGGAGCTCCTTGCAAGCGAAGCCTTTGCAGTGGCTCCCTCCTTTCCACGCTGCTTGTCATCTCCAGGGCCCTTCACCCTGGCCAGCTCCCTCCACCCACTGTTTACTTCTGGCTGCTAGACAACTCATCCATTCCCTGGGAGATTCAGGCCATCATGACCCCCTGCCCTCTGACAGCCTCCTGAGAGCCCCTTTTGGTATTTCTTACCAGTCAGGAGAGCAAGAGAGCTGCCTAGGTTCCTCCCAACAGAGAGATAGCACCTTGAATTAATCCTTAGGTCCGGGATGTCATTAACAGGCAAATGCACTTTTCACTTTCACCCAACACCTTCAGAGCAGCACGGCACACATGCAAAGCCAACAGAGATCTGGGTTCAGCAGAGTTAGTACTCCCAAACCACAAAGTCACTAGGCAGGACAGGATGCTCTGGGAATGCGAGAGCAAGGTGTCAGAGAGTAGGGAAGAAAACACCTTTCTTAAGAGCATCTGAAGTAGAAGGCACCACGTTTGCACCTCTGCACCTTCCCCAACTGCCTCAGAACTGGAGATGTGATGGAAGGCAGGAGTCATCAGTCCTGCCAAGGCATCATTCCCTCAAAGCTACCTAAGATGTGCATGTGCAGGCTGGATGAGATGGGATGTGAAGATTAAGAAGGGTATGGGAGGAAATAGTTGTGGGTGAACTGAAATGATAGAGAGAAAAAAATATAGCAAGTTCTAAGTTTATGGATGACAAGAGAATCAATTCTTTTTCACCCAGGAGCAGAAGATGCCTTTTCTCTGCAGGAGGCAAATTGTGCTGTGACATTATCCCTCTCTGCACAAAGCACGGCCATGCTGACAGCTGGGGAAGAGGCATCCCCAGCAAGAGAGACCCACAAACGGCACACATGGCAGCTCTCCATCCTCTTGTTGGGAGCCAGTCCAGGGACACTGGCAGGGTAGAAATGGAGGAATATCATTTAGCCTTTCTACTGCCACCTTAGGAAAGACAAAGAAATATTTGATCTCAATCTACATGAAAAGCCCAAACTTTAAAAGAATAGGGACACAGCACATTACTGACATTAATTATACACTAATTTCTTCTCTTTCTCTAAAGGGTTATGAAAAAAAAAAGGAAAGGTGACTAGGCCAGGGTGGCCCACACCTATAATCCTAGCACTTAGGGAGACCAAGGCGAGAGGATTGCCTGAGCCCAGGGATTTGAGACCAGTCTGAGCAATATGGTGAGACCCCATCTATACAAAAAAAAAAAAAAGGAAAGATGAATAAATATTTGACAAATTAGGAGCAAAAGGATGGTGGAAATGAACTTGAAGAGTTTACCTGCATTTTTTGCTATTGAAGTCTCCAGAGCACCATTTGGAGCACACCCTCTACATGGGCACTAAGACCCTGGGAGCAGGGAGCTTGGGAATAGTGTTCCCAGAAATTCCAAAATGACATGCAGATTCCCACTGTGAGGGATGTTGGGCAGCAGATGGCCATGTCACCGGAGTGCCAGATAAAGCCCTAAAAGAACCCTGGGGTTTGTTTTCTCTGAGCGAAAGGCCATCCCCAAGTCTCTGTGCATGGCCCTGGAACGCATCCCAAGGGTGGCAGCATGCAGGAGGCAGGGGCTGGGCCGGCGGCTCCGTGGCGGATGCCAGGCGGATCACAGCAGGTGCCCTCTAGAGCCATGTGGGCTGGAGCACTCGTGACCTGCTAGAAGTGGGTATGCTCTGCCCAATAACTGCAAGGCGTGGCACTGGGGGGTGAGGCACGGCACGTGAGCTAAGCATGTATGTGAAGGTGGTCAGACAGAATCCTCAGGGAATTCACAATGCTCAAAACAACCTCTGCATTAAAAAAAAAATTCTACGGACCAAGTCAAAAGATACCAGTATCATGTCTCAACAAAGTCTTCCGAGCATCTTCCCTCTCGACTGCCTGACCCTCAATTCCTGTAGTCAGATGCTCTCTCTTCGAGAGGCCTACGATGTCTGGCGGCGTAGGTGTTCTGACTGACTATGTCCACTTTGGTCTCACAGTCTTTCTTTAGACCTGCTTTGGAGTCCCGTGGACTAGGCGTCTACCATTTGGTAGGGTGGGCAGTGCCGGCCAAGCTCAGAGTACTCTGGAAAAACAAGGCACTATGAGTTGCATGATGCCATGGTTTCTTCCTGATGCCCTCAGGGCTAAGGGCAGATGAAACAGAGCATTTAACCTCCACAGGTAAATATTTGCAGATTCATATGAGGCAGTCAAGAAATAGCTCTGCACTAAGAAAGGAATAAGCAAAGTAGAAGATACACACTGTAATGACTCAGACAGCAGGGAGACTCAGGGAGGCACGGAGACACCTATGGGCTTCGTATGCCAATCTTGGTAAGAATCACCCATCAGGCTTCTAAAAACACAAGACCAATTACAATGTGCGCTGGTCCCCAGCACAAGGGGGGCGGGGGGGATTGGAAGATTCCCTCCTTCTCTCAGGGATTTTACATACAACTTCCTGAATGAATTGGTGAGAAGCAAAGGAGAATGGGAGTGAGTGTGTGTGTGTGTGTGTGTGTGTGTGTGTGCGCCCACAAGCAAGCATGCACACATCCAAGAAAGAGGGTTCTCCCACGAAATGGTAATAAAACGGAGCCTGTCTCCATACCAGTGTTCAGAGATAGTTCTTATTCATTCAGCCTGAAAACTCTGGGGAAGGCAATTTATCTTCCTGCTGCTGTAGGGAGCCCTGGTGAGAAGCGCACCACCATACGAATACATGAGTGTGTGTGTGTGTGTGTGAACACATTACCATTACACAGACATGGGCACACGCATGCGCGTACGGAGGAGCGGCCTCTCAGGTTTAATCAAGAGGGTCAAAAGCAAAGTTTGAACTGCACAGATGAGGAGCAAACCAGCAGCGACCACAGCAGCAGCGGAGGAGCTGAGGAAGGAGGCGAGGAAGGAGGCCAGGTGTTGCTCACCCTCCGCTTCTCCCTGTTAGGGGGAGAACCGGGACCCGCTGCCCGCCTGCACCCCAGCCACCACGGCAGGGCTCTGCTTTCTTGAAAACTTTTACCCTTCATTAATCAACAGATGGACATGCTGTTGTGGATTTTTCTGAGACAGCCCTGTCCCGCTAAGAAGTGTGCTGGCCAGCACAAATGCTGCCTCAGATGGCAGAGGTGGTACTGGCATTCCAAAAGAGTGGGAAGGCACTGAGATACACCTGTCCCCTTCAAACTCAATTCCACAGGTGACTTTTGATGCCTTTGGCTAAACAGGTACTCGCAATCCTGCAAATAACCCCCCCTCCCTCCTCCACCACCAGTCCCATGGCTCCCAGTGGCAGGGAGCCCAGAGGTGGCAAAGTTCTTTCCGGAGAGTCTACCCGCTTGCTTCTCTGCCCTACCAGGTTGCAGAAAGGAAACAATCAGCAGCAGGGGCGAAATGTCATTTTATACACTGAATCCAGTGCTGTGTAGGATTCAGAATTCGACCTCATTCAGGGAGCTCCATGCCGTTCAATGCAACTCTTTACAAGCTTTTCCCAACACTGCAAATGCCCCCACAGTACATTCGGTAATTGCAGCCCCTTTGGCAACCGTGCAAACCACACACATTCGCCTTTGAATACACTCATGCAAGTCAGACCTTATTCGAGCTGAATATCCACCTAAACAAAGCTCTCCTTCCCTGCCCTCTCCGTTCTCACCCTGGTCTGACAGAAAGAGGTGCCCAAAAGTTCAGAGTGGCACAGCCACAAAGACACTACCTAATTATCATACCGGGAGCATAAAGAGCTCATTTGCATTGGAGAGTTCGAGCTGGATATTGACAAGCGAGAAGAGAAAGGCATCCCCTCCCCTCCCACACCCCTTCCTTGCAAAGGCAGATAAACAGTACCATTTTGTTGTATTTGCAAAGGCGAAGAGGCAATGCCAGGGCATCTCAGCCAGGCACCCAGAGACGCATGGACCAGCCGAGTTCCTGCAAAGCCTGCCACATTCCTGCCCACAGCCCCCGCGCCCTGACAGCCCCACACTCTCTTCCAAGTCCAGCGGCGCCTCAGTCCTACCTTGGCTGAAGAGGAAGAAGCACACAAGGAGCAGGTCGAGCTGGAAAGGTCTCATTCCTCAGCGCAGGAGGGAAAGCCACGGCAACTTGGGTGTGCAGTTAGTTCCCCTTGCGCTGGCTCCCTCAGGTTCCTGCCAGCCTCCGTCCCCTGTCCGTCTCTCCGGGCAGCCGGGGTCTCCGTCTCCTGTGCCTCCGGTGTCTGCAGCTGGCCCAGACAAACCGCCTGTTTAGCCGGCTCGGGAAGCCGGGACCGTCAGCAATGCCCCCACTCCCGCTGGAAGCAGATCCATTCTCCGGCTCTTGGCATCCCAGGCACACGGCTTCCTCCGGCGGGCTCCTCCCACAGCCAGCCAGTGAGCGAGCAAGCGACGAGTGACAGAAGAGCTCCTTTCACTGAAGCTGGGGCGAGAGGAGAGGGAGGGAAACAGGTCATAATTAAAGAGGAAATACTTGGAAAAGGAGATCTATGCAAAACAGATGGGGGAAGCCTGCGTTCTTTCTTTTCCCTAAATGGGGAGAAATTCAGCTTTTGTCACCATTATTGACCAAAAAGCATCTTGAGCACAGAGCAGAGCTCCTTTTTGTCCACACGATGTAATGTTGTTAACGGGAGTGAAGTTAAGGGTGACTGTATGCGTGGTGCACATGCATGAAAACATGCATGCACTGCCTTTGCACAAGGGTCTGGAAACCGGACTGAAAGGGAACCAGGCAGAGGCAGGAGGGGAGTGCTTCTCTCCCCAGGAAGGACTTGGCCAATGTGTGCAGCAGGAGGCTTGGAGATGGAGAAGAGATAAGTATGCTTTGCATTTTTGAGACTTTTATTATTAGGTAATAAAATCTAAATGTTTGCATCTGAGTTTGCTGTGCACTGCTCCCTGAAAACAAAATGCAGGAACTAAAGGGAAACCAAGTAGGTTTGTGACACAAACCCATTTATTATTATTATGCTGGTTTGTGCCTTTCCTAACAAGGATGGGAACCAGCCTGTCTTTGCATTTGGAGCCTCTCCTCTAATGAGCGCTCCATCACTCTGCTCACACCTTTTCTCCAAGAGGTGCTGTAAGTCTGATTGTGAAGGAGAGGCCAAGGTCATAGGCAACTGCCTCCTAAGAACCTCCAGGTCTTTTTCCTGTCATGAAATCCACACTCAAATCAAACTCTACTTCCTCCATGATATCACCACGAATTTATCTGGGTCTATTTACTTGACAGACATTTAGGCATGCTTGGTATAAGCAGGTCATGGCAGGAAACAAAGTAATAGGCACAGACCATGCCATCGGGAGTCCGTAATCTACAGTGCAAGCAGAATGTGCACACAACATACAAACTGTAAGGACATTACAAAACAACATATAAAAATGTGCAGCATTATACGGAGTGTGGGGGGGAGGTTAGGAGTGAGGAGAAGAAAATGAAAGACAACATTCGATTCTAAAATCAATCGTTATTTCTTGATCTTTGGGAAACTCTCAGCCTTTCCTCTGTCAGGATCACACATCAAGAGGACCTTGCTGACGACAAGGCACAGTCAAATTTCAGTTAACTTCAAAACTGCCCCATGATATTTATGACAAAGACAGAGAGAAGTAGGGGCACAGGGATAGTGCCTGCTGGCAGAAGCTGACACTTGGTAGTTGACATCAAAGATCTACAAATTAGTAGATATCTGCTTTGTTGACTTTCCTATTCTTAACATAATAGTTTATTTAACTGTATCCCTTAGAGGCTGTTAAACATATCAAAGGGACATTTGTGAGCAAGGCTTATGGGGAAAAAGAAATGCTGAGCTACAGAAATTACAAGACAAAAAACAGGCAACCCATCAACTAAATTAACAAACAAGGTACAGAAGCAAAGTGTCGGCACAGCCCTGGTCCATTACCTTGGTCTAACAGACAGTGCAATGAAACAGAAGGGACAAATCGCAAACACATAAGGTGATTTTAAATAGCATATGCCAAATAACACATTAAGACTGAAAATATAGTTATGTACAGTGCTGTAACCTTAGTAGTAGCTTTCCATTAAATCTACAGGGGGTGGGGAGACTTTAAATGGTCTAGGTAGCATTCCTAAGGCCAAGACTTGCAGCGAATACGATTAATATTAGAATGTAGATCCTTTAACAAATGTAGCAACATTTAATGTTTTAACTAGAGATTTATCCTTTAAGCCGTTGTTTAATTTTGATTGCTAATTCCTAAATGGCGCGGGGCCCAGATTTGCTTAATTCAGCCCCCAAGGGAAGTATTTCAAAACCAGGGTCAGGAGGCAAGTGAAGCGTGCATTATCAGGCACACATACACACTGAAGAACAGGGGGGGAGTGCCAGGCTGGGAGCACCCTGCTCGGCTCGCCCGCTGGTCCCCAAGACTGGCCTCCGGACTGCCAGCCGGCCCGCGCCCGCGGCCGGTTCCCTGCCCGCCCCAGCCGAGCCCGCGCCGCGCCGCCGCCTCGGTCTGGGCGGAAAGACGGAAGCTTGCAGCACGCGGAGAGCTGCCCGCCTCGAAGGGGGCCGGGAGGCATCTAAACCTGAGTGCCGGAACACCCACCGCACCCTGGGCAGCCACCACGTGGGGAGGACGCGCGGTACCTGCAGGGCCGCGCCCGCGCCCGCGCCCGCCCCGACGGCGGCCCGCTCACCTCCTGGGCCCGGCGCCCTCCCTGCGCGGCGCGGGCGGCGCCACCTGCCGCGGGAGCTGGCGGGTCCCGCACCTGCGAGCGCCGCGAGGGCGCCGGACGCGCGGCCCGGCGGAAGCCTTGGAGTCGGGGGCGCGCGGGGCGCGGGGCGCGGGGCTCCGGGCACGGCCGGTGGGGTGGCCGCCCGAAAGAGACAGCGGCTAGCCAGCAACCTGAAACCGCCGACTCGGGCTCCCCGCACACGCAGACGCCAGGTCTGCCGCGCCCGCCGCGCGAGCCGGCCCCTGGCCGGCAGGTGGCGCCCTCCCGGCGTGTCCTCGCCCGCGCCGCGCGCCCGCGGCAGCCTTCGAGCCGCGGGCTGTGCCCTTTGACCCCGACCCAGCGGGGCGGGCCGCGGCCGGCGCGGAGGGCTGGCCTGCAGTTCCAGAGGGCGCGGCTCACCGGGCAGCTCCAGAGCCCTGCTCTGGGCACCAACCGGCCGCCGGCGTTTCCTGAGCTCTGGGGCGGTCGGGTGCCAGGCTCCCGCCAGGCGCGGGCGCGGGTCTGCTGTCCGTGCCCTGAGAACAGACCTCCGCTCCTCGCTGCTCTCTCCTGGCCTTCGTCCTGGCTCTCAGTCCAATGTCTGAAACATTTATTTACTATTCCCTCAGTTTGGCGAATTCCTGTTCTTGGAAAGTTCGTCTTCTAGTTGGGGAGAGGTATACACAGGTGCATATGTGGAAAACAATTTATAAAACATCTCATTGGCTTTTTAGTAAGAGAAGTTGACCTGGAACTCATCTGTCAGGGCCCTTCCTTTCCAGATGGGTCCTTCTAGGCTGCTCCCTGAGGCCCTGCAGGAAGCTGCTGGCTGAGATGTGCTCTGGGGCCCGCCTCTAGCCCACTGTCCCGCTGTCCTGTCCTCCTGGGCTCATGCTGGGCCCGCTCCCTCTCACAGTCTTCCTGCATTCATGAGGTCCACCTTAAAAGGGGAGGGAGTGGTTCTTTTATGAGATAAGCAGACATCATGAGCAGAGAATTTCCTGTTTAATGCCTCTTTACAATGTTTGTTGCCCAGATACATTATAAACCACATTTCCTTTTTGTTTTTCATACATCCTCCCAGTACTGGCTAAAACCTCTCTATCCAGGGATTTAACACATTTTGAGCAGCTTCCTACTGGGAGTTCAGGGTAACCTGATTCTGCAGTCCTGGGTGAGTTAACAAGGGCTAGAAGCTATGTACACTTCCAGAGACCTCGTGGTCTTCAGAGGTCCTCACAGTGGCAAACCTGTCTGACCCAGGCAGTCACAATCTTCTAGTGTATTTCTTTTTCATTTATCTGAACCACATGTCTTGCTCACATTTGTGTAGGTGGATTACAAGACCTTAACCCCTGTTCACTGTGGTTTGTCTCTCCATTGTAGAGGGCAAGGTCCCAGAGAACCAGGCATTCAGTTTTAGAAGCCTCCCCCAAAGGGCAGGTATCTGCCTCGATGATTCACCCAAGACAAGGCCCAGTTGAAGGGGTCACAGTAGCCTTTTGACCTGGATGCTGACTTGGCCACTGTGACCTGTTGTAGCTCCTTAACAAATCTGGACATATGTCTCTTCATCTGTAACATGACAGTTTGAACCAGTACGTCTCTGAGACTCCTCCCAACCCTACGCTCTCATTGTCTTGCTTTGCAGAGGCCATGCTGTTCAGCCTGGAGAGGTCTGGAAGCACTTCCCGAAGGCCAGCAGTGTCAAGGCGGATTACTTTGAGTGGTGGATCCCCACCTCCAAGAAAACAAGTGACAGACCTAAAATCTGCATGGGTCTCTCTGCTCCCATTGATTCCGACTCTCCCCCAAGTTGTTTTGTGTTCATTCTACACTGGGTGCCTTCAGTCTTTCCCCAACTTACTTAACTGTCTCTTTCCTTTCTCTGCTTATTTTCCCCAGAACCATGTCCCACATGCAGTCTGGGTTCTGGGTTCCTGAACAGATTTTCTTCAATGTAATGTTCTGAAGTTGTATTGTATCCAGACTCTTTATTAAAGTAAGGGAATAATGATGCCAGAATGGCTAACTAACTGGGAGATGTCCTTTAAGGGCAATGAGGGCCATGGCCCCTTGTACTTCTTGAATCTTAACCTGAATCACATTTTACGGTAAAACAGGTCTGATCTTGTATCTTCTGTGATGCCCTGGCAGCTCCGTTAGGGTAGGAACAGTGTCTCTCTGGTTCGCAGCTGTGTCCCTGACAGGCAGCAGACACTCCATACGTGCTGCTGAACGAATGGCGAAGTTTACCTAGTGCCCCACATCCATTTCCTGTTTTCTGAATCCAATTTAACTTATTCTTCACTCTGTTATTAAACCATTGTCAAACATCTGGCATGTGCCTGCCACTGCACTGGCTGTATTTTATGGGGATGGGTGATGAATTGAGCCTATATATAGTTTGCAAAATGTGGAACACACTTTAAGATTCATGGCACTATAGGAATGAAAGATATTTTTATCTCTTTAGCATCATTCTGCACAAGGGTACAATTCTCCAGCAGTACTGTTTAAGAACAATAGACCTGGTTAGCCCTGACACACTCATGCATGCAGGGCACTGGGTATTCAATTCACATGGGAGCTGCATTATCTATCTCACCAAAGCCTGAAGGGTGTGTAATTTACAGGGAAGAAAAGATATAAGAAAGGTTCTGAAAGGAGGTGGCAGTGCCCCCGGACTTTGTGTCATTGCTAGTCGAGTGCACAGGCCAGGACCTTCATCCAAGCTCCAGGGACAGCGGCAAAGGCAAGCCTCAGCATCCCTTTTCAGTGCTTAGAACAGGTCTGTGTCATTTCAGAATATGCCATGTGCTCTTTTTGTGTATATGAACAGGCTAATTATGTGGAAAATATTGGAAGACAAAGTGAAATCCAGTTATATGACTCATCTGTGGTATTCAAAAACCTTAGAAGTTATACTGCATTTGTTCTTTTTCTCCATTCTTCTTCTTCATACCCCTCCCCCTTTCTCATAGCTCCCACACACTCCCTAGGCCTAAGTTATAACTTAGTAAACTTTTATAGCAGCTGAGGCAGCAGCTGATCTCGTGCAAAGTCACTTTAAGCTTTCTTCTTACATGGCAAACTTTACTGTCTCTTTTTGTTTTACTATATACAATTTTCTTTCTTCCTTCCCATCTTTATATAATAAATTAGGCATACATAGATATAAAAGTTATACATATAACATAAAAAGTATGTACAAAACTTTATGTACACACATATGAAAGTTTTCTATTACTATGCTAGCAATGTGCTCCTACCCAAATATTCCAGAGTACTCAGTCTGAGACCAGATTTTCATCATCTCTGCTTGAACTTATCCTCAATTTGTTGCCTAGTCTACAGACTAACAAAACCCCTCTCTATTGTTTAACTCCCTGTTCTACCACTTATGTCTTGGAATTCAGTTCTGTAACACCTTCCTCATGCTTAAGAACGTGGACGGCCGCTGTCTTATTCTGCTCAGACTGCTGTAAGAAGATGCCATAGACTGATAGCTTAAACAACAGAAAATCATTTCTCACAATTCTGGAGGCCAGAAGTGTAAGATCAGGGCAGCAGCATGATCAGGCTCTGGTGAGGGCTCTTTCTGGCTGTGGACAGCCACCTTGCCCCTATGTCCTCACATGGCTTTTCCTCAAGTGTGAGCTATCTCTCGCCTTCGTATAAGACCACAAATCCTTTCGGATCAGGATCCCATCCTATGCCCTCTTTTAATCTTAATCATCTCCTAAAGCTCTATCTCCAAACACAGTCATATTGGGGGCTAGCACTTTAGCATGTGAATTTTAGGACACATTTTGGTCCAGGGTAGTCCCCCAAGATAGAGCATAAACTTTTTATCACAACATATAGGGCAAGTCATACTGACATTCCTTTCCTGTCTCCTTGCCGATTCCTTCCTTCACAGATCACACCTTAGTCCTGCCAGATTCCTCTTTATCAATTAGAGACAGCAGCCACTTATGTTTTTCCATATCTTTCTTATACTTGTTTCCTCATCCCAGCATGCTTCCGCACTTTGCTCATCCCTTTGCCTAATAAATGGATGCAGCTGGATCCATGAGAAGAAGTTTGCTTCATCTTTCTCCTCTCAGTCAAAAATTAACAGGTGATTCATCTATAAGTTGCACAGCATTCTTATAAGTCTTTGTTATATAGCTGTTAATATTATATCATAACTCTTACACATCTGACTTTCAAACAAGATGTGAGACCTTCAAGGCCAAGGACCATTTTTTAAAATCTATTTTTGCATGTCCCAGAGTGCATATAGTTCAATGCTGGCATATAGTAATTGTTTACTAGATGGTGTTTAAATGAGATAAAATACAGCTAAAATTCCTGGCATCCTTTCTGTAACCATCCAATCTCAAGGATGAAATTTTCTTTCATCACCTGATACCTTTAGACCCAACTAGATCCAGGAAATTCCATCTCCATCTTCTGGAACTGGATGTATCTTAAGGGCTGGAGAGAAAGATTTCTGACTGTATATTTTGAACCCAACCCAGACTCAGGCAAATGTGAGAAGTGGTGCCATCAGTCCCTATAAATTGCAAGATTTATACGAGAGCCTAACTCTAGCTCTTGCATTTAAAAAACAAAACAAACAAAAAAAAAAACAGCAATCTTGGTTATTCATATTTCTTAACTGCACAATCCCAAATCAGTTGAGAAGCTATCACACTCTATAAGGATTATGCAGACATAGGTACAAAGTAAGTGAGGAAAACATTAATCTTTTCCACACTCAATCCAATTGGAATTAAGTTGGTGGTTCAGTGTGTTTCTGAGGTCTGTGTCTCTTCTCTGTCTTTCTCAGGTTTTGTCTGTGCGGATTGTGAGTGGGCACAGGGAGAGCCTCCTGCTCCTCCGTCTTGTTTTGTTGTGCCAGCCCAGTATGGCCCCACTTGATTTTAGTGTTTTTTGATCATATAAAAACAGAGGATATAGTATAATCCAGTGGTTCTCAATGTGGGGTCCCCGGGCCAGCAGCAGCAGCATTCCCTGAGAACTTGTTGGCAGCGCAGGGTCTCAGGCACCAGCCCAGACCTCT